CCCGCGCTTTGGTATGTTCAGAAAGCACTGGCGTGAACCCAACTTTACTTACCCTGTGTCTCCCCGACCTGGGTTGTTTTCCTCTGTGCTTCTCATCCTTGGGTGTTTGGGGCGTTGGAGGGTGATGCCCTGTGGGGTGTGGCTTCTGAGGGTTTCCTCTTGGGCTTTCAATCCAGACAAAGTTAAAGTTCAGCCCTTTAAAAGAAGAACAGGCATTGTATTAGAGATGGAGAAAGATGTGGTTGTGTAAAAGCCCATCCCGAGCTCCCGCCGGCAGGAAGGGGTAGAAGCCCCCGTGATTAGCTGTGAGCTGGCTGGCTTATATACAACATTAGAAAAAGAATCCACCCCCATGGTCCCAGGGGTTCAGTTCTCCCTTGACCTGAACTCTCAAGGCCTCCCTGTTTCCTAGCTGCAAGGGACGGTTCAAACCCCACCCTGCAATGGATTATGTCTCCCGGAGCTCTGCAGCACACAGCCTGTGAACCGGCACACAGTAGGTAGCCCTGGAAACTCTCCACTGGATTCTCCTGGATTCCGGCTCCATCTTCACAACTGACTGACCTTCTGTACTCCGTTACTTTCTCTAGGACTGCTTGTTCGTCTGTAAAAACAGAGACGCTGCCTCCCCTCTCTCCCACATAGCTAATACTTTTTTTTTTTTTTACATTGTATGTACTTATTTACATATTTGTTTATTTTGTGTGTGTGTGTGTGTGTGTGTGTGTGTGTGTGTGTGTGTGTGTGTTCAGGGCAAACGACAACATGCAGGAGTTGGTTCTCTCCTTCTACTGTACAGGAACCTGAACTAAGGTCACGTGCTGGTTAGTTCGGGTCAACTTGACACGACCTGGATATATCTGGGAAGAGGGAATCTCGGTTCAGGAGTTGTCTCCATCAGATGGGCCTGTGGGAGTGTCCATGGGGCATTTTCTTGGTTGCTGACTGATGTAAAGCCCACTGTGGACCCTGCTGTCTTCAGGCAGGTCCTTGGGCAGAGGAGCTGAACAAGCCAGGGGAAGCAAGCCAGTGTGCAGCACCCCTCCATGGTCTCTGCATCAGTTCCTGCCTCCAGGTTCCTGCCTCGGCTCCCCTCAGTGATGGCCTGTCAAGTACAAGATGTAATAAACCCGTCTCCAGGTTGGATTTTGGTCATGGTATTTAATACGGCTACAAAAATCAAACCAGGCCAGGTCATCAGGCATGGAAGCAAGTACTTTTACTGGGATGAACCATCTTGCCAGCCCTCCCACACAATTGATGGTTTTTGTTTTGAATCAGTGTATACACACACACACACACACACACACACACACACACACACACACACACACACGCTCCATGACATAAGTGTGGCAATCAAAATCAACTTGCAGGGATTGGTGCTCTCCTTCCAGCATGTGAATCCTGGGAACTGAACTCAGGTCACCAGGCTTGGCGACACATGCCTTTACCCACTGAGCCAGCTCGCCAGCCCCCATACAGTTTTTAAGAGTTCTTTATGAGGGCGTAAACATGATAGCCTTGAAATCTGTGGGTGCTCCTCAAAGTCGAAGGAGGCTGGTCATGTGATAGGATAGGATATGGGGACAGTGACCATCCTGAGACTGAAGGGAGGGAACCTGCGTCCCCCCACTGCATCCTAAGAAGCTCTGCTGTCCCTTGACTCTTTCTGTCACAGCTCGAGTGTGAAAGAGGCTCTGAGAAGACCACGGGCGAGGCTGGTGGCTTCAGTGGCTGTTTCCTTGAATGGCCGTGACACAGGCTCACAGAGGTCACTTCAGGAGATTTCTCTGGAGAGGATGTCTGAGTCACTAGCCTTTTGAGATTCAGGGCACTCCATGTAGGCAGTCTTGAAATGGACTGGCCGTTGTCAGGTGTCTGAATAATTTATTTTAATACTCATACCCAGGAGTGTGTTAGCAAATGCTTGGTATCCAGCTCTGGGAGTGGGGACCCTGATCTGTAGTGTCTGCTGATTTCTTTGGTGTAAATATGCTAGCCAAGGATGATTTCGGGTTTCTCTGTGGTGTTGAATAGCATGGTGCCCATGTACTCTCCCTGAGAGCCCGGCCACAGGGAAGTACTGAGTGTACTGCTTCTGTGCTATGCAAACGGAAGAGGGACTAGAGACCACCCCATAGAGACACACAGCATCTAGATCTGAGCCTCGGAGCGGGGAGAGATTGGGACACTCCTCAATCCCCAGTGTGTCCCACTGTGAGGCCCAGAGATGCTAAGCACCTTGTCTGAGGCCCCAACAAGCCTCAGGGGAAGCATAGACTCCACAGCCCCATCTAGGCTTGGTCTTTAACCTTGCTATCTGATCCCCACTGGCTTCAGACCCCTGAATTCGGCCTCCATTGGCCACTTCTGAAACCTTGCTGAACCTAGATGCTGAACCTCTTGGCTTCTCGGTATCAGAAAATTGGTCTTCTCGCAAGCAAAACCCAGGTTCTATAGTCAAGGTATGAGCCTTGCTTTGACATACAATGTGCGCCTCTGTTGGTCTTGCCAGCCCAGACCACACTGACAGGTGGGCAGGAACCAGTGACCTCCTCCAGTTTACTGCTGGGCTCGATTCTGGACCTTTTCTTAAAATCTACAGCACATGGAGCACAAATAAAGACCATTGATCAAGAATTGTAGGATGAAGTCAGGCCAATATGGCCAGTCAGGCTTGCTCTATTGAGCAAGCCCAGGAGAGGCCATGGCCCAGCATGGGTTCCACAGGTCCATGCTCCTCTGTGACCACCGAGGTACACAGATATGTGGGTTTCTCCAAAGACCACTCCCAGATCTCAGCTCTTCCTGGTAGCCGATCTGTTCAATGGCCCTGTGTCTGACCCACAGTTCGTCCTTCATTTTAATAGTCATTATCTCTCATCGGAATATTACCATGGTGTTCTGCTCTGGAGGTGATGAGCATACTTCAAAACAGTGCTGTCGGTATTATTGAAGTCCTCCATGTCAGTGGCTCAGTACCATTCATTTGTAAGCCAGGGACTGCCCAGGTGTTTGCTTTTCTCCTAACTGAAGAACTTAATTGGATATAATCTGTTAGCATTAAATAGTAATTTTGCTGATAAATTACTTAAAATTCTTCTCTAGTACCAACTCAGGATCTTGAAGAATTGAACGACATTTCTATAATTAAGCTTTCTATTCCCAGCTACTCATCCACATGGACAGTTTTGTATCATGTTTACATCTACAGAAATAGAAAACAGAGGGACTGGAGAGATGGCCCAGTGGTTAAGAGTGTGTACTGCTCTTCCAGAGGACCCAGGTTCAGTTCCCAGCACCCACATTTATGGCTCACAACTGCCTGAAATTCTGACTCTAGGGGATCTGACACCTCTGGTCTTTGGGGACACACACACAAGTAAAATAAACCTTTAAAAAAGAAAATCATAACTGGAAATGGTGCAGTCTGTTGTCCTTCCACCAGTCAATATTTATTGTCTTGTCATAAAATGTCTTCACAACACATCTTTACATTTTATGTTAAGGGATGATTTACCAAAATGTTTTGTTTACACTGTACTGTTGATACTGTTTGGCCAGTGTGGCACCCCAAACGATGGCGATGAGAAACCAGAAACTGGTTAAGAACCTGGTCGAGTGCCGAATAGTAAGAGGGTGACCAGCGGAGAACTTGGAGCACAGACTGGGCTATGATAGGGTGAGAGTCTGAGGGACAGAGGGTGGGAGTGCGATTGGGAGCCACCTGCTCAGGAAGAGCATGCTCGGGAGGTCATCAGCGTCCACGGGACACTGGTAATGAAGGTTCTGGCCGTTCTCTTCTTCCCCGTCGGCGCTTAGAACATGCTGCTAAATGTGATGCTACCAAGCATCCTTCTGCTCTACCCAGATAGAAGTTGTGGGCAGGCAAGGAGAAGAAGCCCTTCGTGGGCCAGTCATTGGAGGCTTTGTATCCTGTGTTGGACAGCCCTGAGTGATGGGAGAAGGTGGGAGCAGCGGCAGGTGGCGCCCTCTGGTGTTCCAGCTGTCCGTCACGCTGGCCTTTGGCATCAGGACCCTTCCGTCTGTCTACAAGTCTTAACACGCGTAGGCCTGCAGGAAGTCATCCAGATTCCTTAGGCCTTCGCAGCAGCTGACACTGGAGCTTGTGGGCAGGCCCAAGCATCATGATTCTTCAGCCCTTGACAGAGCAGCCTGTGTTATGGCCCCCAGGCCTTGAGCGTCTGAGACCCTTGGGCCTTAGAGGCTTGGCAGCTCTGGAACTCTTCCAGAGACTTCAGTTTCTCTACTCAGGCCCTTTATAACCTGTCCTTCTGCGCTCGAAGCCTTCCATCCTCTGAGGCACTGACTGCCATCTCCCCCTGTTCCTGCCCTGGTCTGCTGCCTGCTCCTCCGTGGCTGTGGCAGCTTGCTGCTGTTTCTTGCTGTCCCTTAAGAGACACCGTGGATCAGGCGAGTGCTGCAACACCAAGGGCCGGCAGCCCAGGCTCTCCCAGTCCACTCCCTAAGTGAGCCTTGCCAACCTGTTTATATAGGCAAGCAGGGGCATTGTAGACCCATCAGGAGACGCCTCACATGTAAATTAAGATTTGTGTTTGCGCCAATCACAAGCACACTTTGCATATGAATGACAGTGTGTGCTTGTAGTGTCCCTTTTACACCAGTCACAAGCAATCGCTTAGCCAGGCCACTGGGAAACAGCACCAAGAAGGCTGTACCTTCAGGAGCCAGAGCCACACCCGTGATCCTTGTGTAGTTTTCTTTCACGGCATCTGTGGAGCCTTCCAAACAGCTGGTGTTAGCACAAGGGTAATCCCCCAGCTGTTTGAATGTCCCTTTGCTCAAGGCAACAAGAAAGAGTCCAGCAGCTGCCAATTAGTCAGTTTGCCCATCCCCCGCTGCCCTTACCTATTTATAGGAACGTGAATGCCAGGACTCTTGCAGTAAAAACTCGAATAACGTATTAATTATGATTTTAAAAGATTTTTAACAGTGCCTAGCACCTGCCCAGTGCCAGTGCCCAGAGAGAGCTAATCTCCATTTGTTGTCTCACTAAGACTTTTCAGATGCGGGCGAAAACTTGGGTGTGCATTTTGGGTGTGTGTGTGTGTGGGGGGGGTACTGTAGCAAAGTTCCAGAGACAGGAGCTGTGGCTCACAAACATTTGCAGGTATCTGTCTTACAGCCCAAGATTAAGGTGTCAAAAGGCCAGGGGCCGGCAGACCTCAGGCTTAGAGAAAACCCCATATTTGAGTGGGATTTCAACCCAGAATAGCGTGCCTGGGCCAGGATTTAGCTCCCTGGGGACCTTGCGTGTGCAATGGCAATGGTATCCCTCAAGAGCAGTGTTGTTAGGCCCATCAACACTACTACCTGTCAGGAAGGAACGTGGCAAGTGCCAGCCAGCTGTAGAGCAAGACTTAGCCTGAGTAAAGGGCCCAAGTGGTGTAGCCAGAAAGTGGATTCCGATGATCCCGGTTCCTCTTCTCAGTCACCCCAGCTTCTTAGCCTCCTCTTGCCTCCTCTCTATAAAATGGGCTGACAGTGGTGGTGGTGGGGATGGCTAAGTCACTGGTTTTTATAGCACCTGGTGCATGAAGCATGGTCCTGTGTATCCGCTGTATGGAGGTATTGGGCTCTGCTCTATACCAGGTGGTGGCTGTAACTTACCTGTACCTCCTGGAGCCCTGGCCCAGCTGAAGGGTACCTTCCTGAGCTGGCACCATCCTCTTCTCCTTCACTGAGCCCCCAGCCCAGACCATGCAAGGGGACTTTGCTGGGTACCATTGTTCCCCAGCACTGAGCTCAGGAGTTCAGGCAGCCAGGTGCCGAGGCTGTGGACTCTCTCAGCCCCGCTCACTGAAATTCACCTACTGGGAAAACCTCACCTTAACTGTCTGAATGGCCCAGCAGAACTCTGGTTCTTCCGTTGTTTCAAAGTGACTTCCTGAGGAGGCACATGCCAAGCCAATATCCTGGCCCTGTGGGCACCCTTCTTCCCCACAGTGCATCAGCCAGCATGTATGAGCCATGACCTACTTACTCAGCAACTGCTCTTTAGTAAAAACCAGTCCCCCCCCCTTGATGGAGCTGCATGCCCGCTTCCAATGTGTGAGAAGGGCAGCCTGCTGGAGGCAGTGGGTGGTAGGATCATGGGCTTTTATATGAGAGCGTGACAAGATGTAAGGATGGCATAAAGCATCATTTCTGTCAGTGTGAGGCTGTTGGCCATTTGGAGTAAACCTTGCTGGGACATATCCTTAGACCTCAGCAGGGTGGGAAGGACATCATGATAGATCCAGGCTCACTACCTACTGGGGGTGTCTCTTGGGCCCTGTCTTTTGTGGGGACACACAACATGGCCACCACCCCTTGACTTAGGTAGTACAGTTATGAAGTAGGGTACCTGGAACAGAGAAGGAGCAGCCAGAGCCGGTGTGGCAGGGTCTTGGAGAAGGATGTCTCAGTCTCCTGCACTGGAATATATTTAGGATGTGTTCATTCGCACGGGCTTCTGGGAGATGATAGTGTACACTAAATCCCGCCCCTAGCTCAGAGCCCCAGATGCTGAGGGACCCAACCAGAGTGAAGACTACTGGCTTTCTGTGCCCCAGTGCTGCTTGGGAAGCTTTGGATACAAAGAGGGGCACCCTACTGTGTCTTGGCGAGCAGGTCTGGCTTCCTAGAGGAGGTGCTGCCCATGGACCTGAAGGAGGGGTGGGCGTTTACCCAGTAAGGGAAGGAAGGCTCCTGGTGTTCCAGAAGGTGGAGGGCTCATCCTTCCACCCTGCCAGGAAAGAGCTGAGGCTGGGAAGTTGGTCGGGAGGTTGGAAGGAGTCCTCTGCTGGGCAGATGGCAGTGGAGCCTTTAGTCAAGTGGGAGGGTGTCTCCCATAAAACGACAGAGCGAGTGTAAGAATGTGTGGTCCATGGAGGAGCGGCAGAGCGCAGCCCTGGAGAGCAGCTGCCTGGGAACAGTCCACCTAGGAGGCGGGGGTGAGATGTGGGGCAGGGTGCAGAGCAGAAGCCCTCCGGAGGGGTTTTCATGTCTGTCCTGGGGTGGGGTGGGGTGTCCGTGGGAGCCGCAGAGGGGTCTGAGCAGGGAAGGTCTGCTATTCAGCTGTGTTTAAGAAGACTGTGCCTGCTCTGTCTGTGAGGGAGCCCAGGCAGTGGGTAAGGGCTGGGGTGGATTAGAAGGTGTTGGCACAGATTTGGAGGACTGGGGTCAGGAAGGGAAAGATGCTAAAAATAGACGGCTTGTGCTAGGCTAGAGGGTAGATGGCTGGGCCCCGAAGTCCCTCTTTCCGTCCTGTGGACAGAGCTGAGGCTGAGAGGTGAGTAGGATGGTGAGCTAGGGAGAGGACTGTGGGAGGGAAAGCCTGCATATCAGAATCACCGTAGTAGGGTCTGTTCGAGCAACAGCTCTTTTTCTGGGCTGAGGAATAATACAGCTTTCTGATAGGTGTGGCACTGGTGCTACTGCTTGGGGTACAGGCTGGGTAGCTGGGCAGCACCCCCCCCCTAGGCCTAGGGGACAGAGTTAGAAATACCCTCCAGTTAGGGTTGGGGTGTACTCCGGGATGCAGCCTGCTCTGCGTCCCTAGTCCTTCATCTTTTCTGTCTATGTTCCTTCCAGATGGTGTCCCCTTGAGCTTCCTGGTGTTGGTGACAGGCTGCACATCAGTGGGCAGAATTCCAGACGCCGAGATCTATAAAATCACCGCCACTGAGTTCTGCCCCCTGCAGGAAGAGGCCAAAGAAGAAGACCGCCTGCTCGCCTTGAAGAAAATCCTGAGCTCAGGGGTGTTTTATTTTGCATGGCCCAATGATGGCTCCAGTTTCGATCTGACCATCAGGGCGCAGAAGCAGGGTGATGACTGCTCTGAGTGGGGGACCTCCTTCTTCTGGTAAGGGACCGGGTTACAGAGGGCAGATTCTGGGTCATGCCTGAGCCAGCCATGGCCTTCCCTCTTGCATCTGCCTAGGGTTCTGGGTCAGCCGTGGCGTGGCATTGAGAGCCATGCTTGTTCTCTGTGCAGTGGGAGAAGACAGCTAAAATCCTGCATCCCTACCTACCCTGTGATCCTAGCTCCAGGAATGTATTCATGGGGTCCCAGATAGATCCTGAAAAGAAACTCTGTTCCCTGAGGGAAGAGCGTTGGGGCTTCACCTGCTCAGGCCTTCTCTACAGTGATGCTCTCCTCAGATGATCCAGAGCCTTGGATCACGGACCTGCCATGTTGCGTGGAAGCAGAGAGGGCAATGATTGCAGAGACCATGCTCAGGCCTTCTCTATGGTGCTGCTGCTCTCCTCAGACTGCCTGAGGATGAGAGAGAAATGGGCAGAAGCATTGTAGTGTGAATCCTGCTGCGTGTGTCCTAGCAGACCTTGTCTTTTCATGCTTTAGCCACAGCAGCCCCCCTCTAGAGCCACACCAGTCTCCCAGCCACACTCAGACACTTGTTCCTACCCTTCGTTGGAGCTTGCCTGGCTTTAACCACGGGAGCCAGCAAGGGTTCCCATGGTAGGGTAAGGGACCTTCCTGTAGGACTTCAGCTCCCTGCTCATGAATTTCTCATTCCTCTCGATAGAGAAGAATCCCTACATCCATCCTCCCTCATCCCTACATCCCTACATCCATCCCTAGCACCCTACCTTTACATCCTCCTGGGTCCTCTCCAGTTTGTCAGTGTATGTGGTCATGTGTTGTAGGATATTTTGATCACACGCTGACACTCCTGAGACCGCCCAATGAAGTTATGCCTTGAATCAGGGGGCAGAGCCAGGGACTAGCTGACTGGAATTGGCCACAAAGAAGCCAACAATTTGGATAGAGAAGACACACAGAAAGGGAAGGGCAGGGACTAGAGTTTGAGTTTTTTGTTTCTGGGACAAGGGAAGAGTTGTCTCTCTAGTGGGATCTCTGGCCCAAAAGTAAGGTCAGCTAGTTGCTACTCAGCCTCTCTGAGCCAGCAGGTTTTCACCCCAGCCTTTGACTTCTGAGTCTTATTGATAAGTGGCTGTGGCAGAGCCCAGGGGCCTTGGGACTGGAAGTGCCACCAGGCCGCAGCCTGAGTGGCTGGTGGGGTACTGACTGAGGGGACATGGGGCAACAGATGAGAATTAAAATATCAGTGAAGCCAGGCAGTGGTGGCACACACCTTTAATCCCTGCATTTGAGAGGCAGAGGCAGGCCTGGTCTACAGAGTGAGTTCCAAGACAGGCTCCAAAGCTACACAGAGAAACCCTGTCTCAAAAAAAAAAAAAAAAAAAAAAATCAGTGATTCAGGTGCATCCACTAAGCTGACAGAAAAGCATCATTTGGCACCCCATGTGGGGCACCATTTGTAATGAGTCTTTCTCTCTCCCACCAGCTCCCAAATAATGACAGGGAGACTTCTTATTAATTATGAAAGCTTGAAGCTGGAGAGATGGCTCAGAGGCTAAGAACACTGGCTGCTCTTCCAGAGGTCCTGAGTTCAATTCCCTGCAACCACATGGTGGCTCACAACCATATCTAGTGGGATCTAATGCCCTCTTCTGGCATACAATTGTACATGCAGATAGAGCACTCATATACATAAATAAGTAAATCTTTTTAAAAAAATTATGAAAGCTTGGCCTATAGCTTAGGCTTGTTTTTAACTAACTCTTATAACTTAACCTATTTCTATTAATGTATATTCTGCCGCATACCTCCCATACTGCTTCTTCTGTGTCTCCTGGCACCTTTGCCTTTCTTCTTCCCAGAGTCCAGAGTGCTCTCTATCCCCAGAAGTGCTGCCTGTACCTCCTGCCTAGCTATTGACCATTCAGCTCTTTTTTTTTTTTTTTTTTG